GTGCATCATGGCAGGGACAGAATTACATCTCCTTGAGGATTTCACAAGTAGAAACTACCCAACAATTGTTAAAAATAGGTATAATCCTAAAGGAAAGAAGTCACTGAGAGAAGATCCAGCAAACACCAGCCTGTAGATAAGATGGTACACTGGATATTGCTGCCCTGACTCGGTGTTTCTGTTTGCCTGTGCACACGATTGTAGTATCTTGAACACTGCAGTAACAACTGAAAGAATCATTTAATAAGAGGTGTTTTTTTTCAGAACTGGTGTGGAAGCTCTGAAGCCAAAGCAGAAGGATGGGGGATCAGCTGTCCTGGGAATAATATGCTGGGAGTTATTGATTAAGATCAGTCCAGTGACAGTTAAAAATCAGGTGTACCACAGAGAAACTCCTGCTGTTCCTCCAGTGCTCTTTACACCCACCACACACAGACTGACAAACAACCTTTGAAGTTAAACCTGGGGCCTTGGGGTGCTCTCAGGACAGTGCCCCAAATCATACCAAGGCCAGACACACCGTATGAAGGTACAGCACAATAAAATAAACCAAAGGGTGAAGCTGAATCACCGAACTGGTACCAGCTGTGGAGCAAATTCCTGCCACCAGGAGCAGCTTTATTAACCCTGTTCAAACTTCTACATGTTCTCCACATTTCAGCCCCCCAGACAAGGTTGGCTGTGCTTAGTTTTAGATGGTAGATACCCTTCTGGCTATAAATACAGATCACTGTTCTCCTGCTTTTACTAACAATGGCATTGTTCAAGCCAGTTGCAACTTGTGTGAGTAACCATATGAATGAAACACCACATACTTAATTCTTTACCAACCTTTCTTTCAACAATGCAGCAACAGCTATAACTATAGCAAGTGCTGATGGGATTTATAACTGGGTCCTGACTATAAATCATATTTTTTATCAGCCTTAGGAAGTTTTTATTGCTGTTTTCATCCTTCATTTTCTATGTACTATCTCCTGGGATCAGGAGGACCTATATCAAGGTGTAACTCTTACTACACACCCCAAGAAATAGCACAGATGTTTTCCTAAGCAAAGATAAAAGATTAATGTAAACCTGTAGGGATTCCAAGGAGTCAGTTGGAAGCAATAAGCTTGTTTTGAGCATATTGTATGTGTGTTCATGGTAAAATTCAAAAGATCCACACAAAGGGCTAGACCCAGCCCTGCTGAAACCAGTGACATTTGTCCAGAGGATGGAGCCAACATGCTGGAAACGCATCAGGAACATGGCACGGGATGACAAACTGCTCCATCATTAGCTCTTAATTTAAGCTTAGCCCTCCTCTTTAAGGAGAGTGGGTGAGAACAGCAAACAAATCCCATATCTATCACCACATCCACACAGTTCCCAACTCCTATTTATAGTTTTGCTTCGAAATTAAAGAGAAAAATGCAAAGCACGATGGCAGAGGGGAGAGAGAGGGAGCAGCTCCAGTCGGTGGCTGCGGTTTTATTTGCAGAGTGCTGTCCACCACACTCAGCACTGCTGTCAGCCCAGCCTTTGCCAACACCCAGCTTCTAACAAAGCTTAAAGACTTCTCCTGGAGTTTCCTAGACAGCAAAAATGACTAGGTTTATGGCTAAGATGCTGTAATTACTGACAAGTCCAGGCAGGCAAACAGCTCTGTGATTTTTCTCACTGTTACATGACATCCTCCTGTCCTTCTCCACCACCTGGACCTTCCTGCATGGCAGCACCAGCAACTTGGAGGCTCCAAGGGCTCTGCCCCTTCTTGGAAAAGCTCTAAGAGTCACTGCCTTCTTTTGCTTCTCTTACTCCAAATGCTTTTTAAAATTAACACACTAAGTTAAAAGAAAGCACAACCAACATGAAAACCCAAGGAACTATTTAATAGCTATTTTAATCTAAACAGTCACAAGTAGCTTTTCAGCAAAGGATTTGAACAGTGCCAGATTCACCTTTTCTGACTGATTTTGAGTCACCACCTGACGCACCGCAGATCAATCCCACTCTGCCTTGCGATCACTCCAGTAAATCAGGGCCTTGGGTCATTTCAGACCTTGCATTCCTTGGAATGTAACACAATTCCCATCTTAACCATTTAAAACCAGACCTTGGCTCTTCACAGCCAACACGGCCTCACAAGGTGCTGCAGAGAGGAGCCCTGAGCAGTGCTCAGCCCTCAGAAGGGATCTGGGGAGAGTTTGCCAGAGCACAAATCATTTCAACTCCGAGTCCCCCAAACTGAACTGACAGAAAGCAAAGACAAACACCTGGAGCTTTGTGCACTACACGTGATGTTCACTCGCATTTCTTTTTACACGGCCTGAAAACACAGGTCAAAGTCATTTGTACTGTTAGAAGGGGTGCTAATTCAGTTTTGGAAACAACTATCTGGGTTATCCCACACAAGCAGAGCGCTTTTGAATTTAGTTCTGCTCAACTCTTTTTAAGGACACAGCACTGAATGCTCAGAGTCCACAAAAATGCCTGAAAAGGCTTAAAAATCACACCTTTAGGTCCTCCTTTTATAAACCAGAAACTCAGTCACTCTTCAGTCCCCTTCACTCCCGTTGCACATGCAAAGGGAAGAGCACTATTTCTTCCAAATACTGTAAAATTTACCATTTCTCTTATAAATTCCATAAAATTTACCACTTCTGTCAATCTTTCTCTTCACTTCAAATAAAAGAAAACACCTTCTGTGCCACTCACTCATCCCTGCAAACTCAAAACTGTCCACCCTGAGGAGTCAAGCCAGGGATTTATCTCAGAGAGGTACGAACTAATAAGCGATAAAAACCCAAGCTGTTGTTTTCTATTCTCCCATCGATATGGGGGCTATTTTTAGAAGTTTCCCGGCGAGCCGTGCAGGAGTTGTGCGGGCAGAAGCTGCACTCTGCAGGCCCCAGCAGCGAACAGCCCGCGGCAGGAGCAGCGCATCCCTCGCTCAGCCGAGCACTGCCCCCCTACGGCAGCAGGTAAATTAGGGAGCAGCACACGGAATCGCTCACCTGAGGGGTTTACTCTGCCCACGGAGCTCCCTGCAAACCTGGTAGTCTCGATTTCTGTGCCACAGAAAGGTCAGGCACGGTGAGGAGCACCCCCACCGAAGGGTTTTCCGAAAACACTCCCCAAGCGGTGCTCCCTGGAAGTAAAGGGGGATGCTTTGTGCTGCTTTGAGGGAAACATTTTTGTAACCAGTTCACTCAACAACAAAGTAACTCTCACTCTGGTTGCCCATCCCTCTGATTTTCTGGTGGGGCTCAGATGATTAAGTGATACATTTCAACGAAGGAGACTTTGCTGTCAGAAAAAGTAAGTTAAAAATTTTACTGAGCTCTGCAAGGCATTCTCTCCACCAGGATTTGGGAAGAGAAGGGGACTTCCCAACATGAACAGTGGCCTGAGATCAAGGGGGCCACAGCTGCACTGCTGTGGTAGAGGCTCTTTGTTCTTGCCTGCAGAGTTTGCTCTAATAAACAATTTTTTTCCCCTCAATATTGTTTCTCCCCCCCCCCCCAGCTGCTGCCTCAGCTAAAGGGAACCACTGTCACATGTTCATGTACACCTCAGGGTACTTGCCCAGCTTTTACAAGTTACCACGGTCATAAATCTCCCCCTACTTTGGGGTTTTCCAACCCAAATGCCCTTATTTATGGCGAGAAATGAGCAACAAGTGTTTCGGGTCCATCTCCCAATTCCGTCCCTCTCCAACCTCAGGAGCATTCCCCTCACACACCTCAGCCCCAGCTCTGCGCCCACTGCCAAAGCATATTTACCACCTCAGAAAGCACCTTTGCTTCAAAGACACCATGCAAACACTTAAAAGACATATCTGCAGAATCTCAAATGCTACAGCAAGCAGGCTTGTGTATTTAGCAGGTAAGTGTACACAAACAGCCTCCCATTTGGCATCACCCCCTGCCCCACTGACCCAAAACATTCCCGTTTCCTGGGGAGCTGGTGGCACGGAAAGCAGCTCAGTAAAAAGTGGTACAAAACACGAAGGTAACTCCTTCAAGAGGAAGAGTTTGCTAAAAGGAACAATTCTCCCTTAAGCAGAGGGCAATGCAATCTTAATTAATACAATCTTGTAGGACATGTATATATAATGATTTCAGAAGATCCCAGACTTACGGCATCAGCTTCAGCGAATGGAGGTTGTTTCGACTGCCAAAGAGCCCAAACCCACAGCTCCCAGAAACCATTACATTTACCAAGGACATTAAAATTAAACAACAAAAAAAGAACTACACACCCCAAGTATTTTCTTTATTATTCTGCTCCTGTTCTCTTCCATTGTAACTGCAAAAAAAAAGCAACTACTTTCCTGAAGTTCTTCGCTAATTTCAGATTTCACAGCAATAAAAAATGTAACTCAAATGGCTTAGAAGTTTAACCCTCAAAAGAGAAAAGTGTGAGCATGATATACAGGCTGCACATATATAAACACTTTAATTACTACCATACCCAAATAACTGTCCTAGAAAATAAGTGTCCTCAGACAACTGTTCAATCCTCTGCCTTGCTAGTGTTTCATAGGGTGCAAAAATAAAATTTAAAAAAAAAGTTACACCCAGCCTACTTCAGATATCACAGAGCTGGTTTGGGACATCTGCAAATCTTTCTTACAGGTTCAAGCCCTGGGGTAAGAGAAATACCTGTTGTGGACATGTCCAGCTTAGCCAGCAGGTCAGCGAGGCTGGGGATGAGCAGAGGCTCGAGCTCAGTCACCCACCTCTTCTGCTCGAGTCCATCTGCATTCCCGGTGCACCTGGAGCGCTCTGCCAGCAGGGAGCAGAGCACAGAGCCCTCAGGAAACCCCCAGCAGGAGGAAAGGGGGCTGGTGCTGCCCTACAACATCATGAGACACAGGGACCCCACCAAGACCCTCAAATGGGACCAACTGGGCAGTTTGTTTGATGCAATCACCTAACTTCTTATTCCTCCCGGAAAATCCCTCCTCCGAATCAAATCTTACACCTACCTGCCACAGACACCTTGATTATGGAGCTCATCCCAAGGAGTTTCCAGAGGAACAGTGAGCCATACCCAGGTTATTGCAGCCTAGGAAATCCAGCAGCATCTGAAAGCCAACACAAGAGGAACAGCAGGGAATTAAATTAAAGTAGAGCTAAACATGACAAGGGGAGAAAACCAAGTAAAACATACAAGAATTTGTTTTAAAATCATGCTATTTTAATGTACGCTCCTAAGGCTTCTTCAGAAAGGTAGGATGAGAGAGATGTGTCCTGCTAAAATGGGTTTATCAGTTGCAAAGAGGTCACTTGCTCAGGTGTGGCACCTCAGGGCTATTTAATGATGCCAAAATTGTTCTTCACAGTGTGCAATGAAGGCTGAGCTGTCCTACCTGGGCACGGTGGTGTGCCTGGAGCACAACTAGGCAGCTTTCCTGGAACAGTTACAGGTACAATTTCTTATCTTATTGTCCTTGTCTGCAACGATGGGAAATAAATCACTGTCAGGCTGGAGGTTTTGTTTTATTTTAAGGTAAGTGCCATCTTGAGCTGCTTTCCTAGAGCCAGGTTTGTGTAACGGGTTCCCCTTTAAAATAACGTAACAGATAAAATACTGAGTTCATGTAACTTCAGGACAAAACAACGTAAGGAGCTCAGTTTAATCTTACAAATCAAGTGGCACGTAAATTTAAATTTAAGCCCTGGAGGGAACAGAGCCACAAGCAGCCATGCAGGGGAAGGGTGTTTGCAAAGTGGTCACTGTCCCTACTCATGGAAGTTGCTCTGTGTTAATCATTCCTTAAAATACCCACACTTTTTTTTTTTTACAAGTGTCTGGAGCACTTTAAATGACACATTTATTGAGCTGCAGGATGGGGAGTGGATGAAGATGGACAGAACTGGGTGATAAACTACAGATGTACCCAGGCCAAAATAAACAAGGGGCTTAAGACTAAGTGGATCATAACTAATTCCCTCGTGGAACTTGGAAGACTTTCATGTAGATGAGGTTTCTGCTGCACCAGTACACCCAGTGAGCTGCAGAGGATGGGGCAAAGACATACAGGCCAAAAGGAAAAAAAAACACCTACTTTTATTAACAACCACAGGGTAAATATCAGTAAGACTCATACAGCATAAAATGGTGGAATAATATCATGTACAGATATTAAACATGTTCATTTCAATGTGGCAGAGGCTGCTGGAAAAGGCTCAAAAACTACTGCTGGCCTCCTGTAAGCTTTAATAATAAACTAAAGCATATTAAAATCAAGCTGATGTTTTTACTCAGTGCTTTCCACTGGTGCATTATACGTCCACATCCAAGCTTTGGGTGCTTCCAAGGGTAGAAGGAACCTGGTGAAGTCAGTGTTTTCCCCAACTGCTCCTCTGAGCAAAAGTCTCCAGGAGAAATTCACAGGCTTTGTGTGACTCGAGAGATTTGGAGATGGCTCTAGCAGAGCTTTCTGAGAAGAAATCTGCATTTATACATTACTATGGAGGTTAGATTATCAAATACAGTAAATAGATTCCTACTCTGAAATATCATTTTACAAAAAAAAAAAAAAGAAAAAGCCATACTAAGGATGGACTTCAAAAATTCTTGGCAGGCTCAAGATTTTTATGTTAAACCTCTGCAGGTGCCTCCATCGGGCTCAACACGTTTGAGGTTTGCTTTGGGGTGGCTGTTCGAATTTCCAGCCAATTTCTCTTGCTTTCAAATGGAAAAACTTGGCCAAATAATTACAAATCCATAATCAGCGGAAACAGAAAGTGTGCTGCAGGTGTCCTTCTGAATGGGACAAGGAATGGGATAGATACATATCCTAGAATTGACTACGGACCTAGGGAGGGAAAAACACCAGAAAAAAATTTAAGGAGGAGGGAAATAAAATACAAATGTTTCTTAATAAATCCATCATAATTTTGCTTTTTTTTTATTAGGTTAAACATTAGTTTTATTTGGTGCCTTGTATCTTGAGTGAAATCCAAGTCCTGGTATCCTTTTCCTGTTACAGTGGTGTGGTCATAACTTGCTATTCCATGGCAGTGACGGAACATTCACTTCTTATTTTGGTGAGTGTGGACAAAGCTACTTGATGGTTTTGTTTTAAGTCAAAAGATCTATTTTCAATGTTCATTGTTGCTTGCAAACCATTTAACCCTTTTAAGGCACGTTCAAATAAAAAAAATTACAAATATTAACCGTTAATTTTAAAGGCATAATCTGAAAAATACTTTATGTTGTTCTGGAATTATTTTTTTTTTTAATAACCAGACACAATCATCCCAACTATAGAATTCCAAGGCCAGATACAAGTTCTGGCTGTGTAGAACTGCTGATGACAGAAGTGAGGGGGGCAGACTGTCACTTGTACATATAAATTATCGAGACAAAGTGCCAGTACGATTTGCCATGAGACAGAGAACAGCAATTTTAATGAGTAATAACGACATAAGACATTTCAAACAATCATCTATTTGTCAGCAGTGAAGTGAACGTGAATTTGGGAAAACTCTGGGAACATTCTCGCTTTGCCACTCAATATATTTGTGTGCCCATTAAAACTGTACCAATGAATTCTGAATGTGGATAAAGTTACGAGCCCTTATGCCCAGGCCAAATCCCAAGTTTCTGATCATTTTATCTCTTTTTTATGTCCTGCCAAAAAGATAAGAAACGTGCTGGCAGAGAGGAAAAATTATTGCTTGGATTGTTCTGCCAGCCAGTGAATCTGTTTCCTATAAATGCAGCTTTCACAAAAAAATCCAGTTGAGTAAACAGAAAAGATCCGTAAAACAAGAAGAAATATCAAAATAGCATTTAAAATAAAAGAGTAGTAAGTAATGAAGGGGGTTTTTTATTAAATATTTGTCAAATGTAAATCATTAGCTCCAGATGGTAGATGAGTTTAAAGTGATGTGTGACAATTAATTTAATCCCACATGGATCTATCTTACCGTTGATGTGATCAGATCTCCACAGAAATAACATAAATAATGCTAATTACTAATCTATTTTGCATTCCACTGAGGAATAATTAATGAAAGAACAAACCCACTGTCCCCTGAGTGACACTCTGAGCATGTAACAGCACAAGTCTGTGATGAGGGAATGTCAACTGTCTTAACCCTCCTGGTGCACTTAGGAAAATACTTCGGTGTTTAAAAAAATACTGAGGATTCCTGTTCTTACCTTACCGAGGAGGAAAGTGAGGACTGGTCTGATGGAGGAGCCTCTTCAGCTGCTGGACAGGAGCCTGACCTTGGATTTGGCATCTCTGGATGTTGTTGCCACACTCCCATTTCCAGACGATGCTGTGGGACCTGTGAATAATACAGCTGTAAGATTAGTCACTTAAAGGATTTAGGGGAGTTAATCACAATTCTTTAGCTTGAAATGTATAGAGGTTTTTTGGTTTTTGAGGGGGGTTTTGTGCATGTTGTGAGGGGGTTTTGTTGGTCGGGTTGGGGTTTTTTGGGGTTTTTTTTGGTTTTTTTTTTTTGTTTGTTTGTTTGTTTGGTGGGAGTATTGCAGCTCTGAACACAAGAAGCATAGAACAAGGTCTTTTGAGCAAAGAAATTCCAAATACCTGTATTTTTCCCCTCAGGAAAGGCCGCGAATTTTTGGCAGTAACTTTGGTCCCTCTCCCCGGCGCCATCTTGGCTCCTGAGGCGCCAGTGGCGGGGAAA